TATAATAAAGATCATATAATTTGATCTTCTCAAATTATGCTACATAATATCATCATTTTAATATACACACTTTCTAATTTACAACCATTAGATATTATACTTTATATAACAATATCTACCTCATCTCTCACTTCTAGATAAATGGGAGATGACCAAATGAGCTCCAAAACCACAAAGACTACACAAAAATTGTTGCCTACGTACCAACCTCTCAAAGAGATTAAGCCTCGTGTAGTTCTTTTAAATGCTCGAATGGACAATCAATGATAAGCTTGGATGTTCACCAAACTTCTCAAGTAAACTCTTAGATTAGTTGTACCTTTATGAGCATGCCCATTGAATTCTCCTTCACATCTATATCATTCAACATAACATTGTCATCATCAATTACTTTTCAAACAAAGTGGTACCTTATAGTAATGTGTTTGGTACAGACATGATTAATTGAATATATGATAAAAAATATCACACTCTAAATATATTAGAACGCTGTCAGAAACTCCTAATTAACTCCCAAGTAATTTATTAGATCGTGTTTTCAAATCGATTCGTTCATCTTCTCCGTAACTGTGATGAACACAGCCTCTGTAGAAGGCAAAGCAAAAATATATTGAAGAATTGATCTCTAACTGACTATACCTCCTATCAATGTGCATACATATTCAGTCATTAATATTCATCGATATATATCACTTGCATAGTCTGACTTGGTATATCCTATACACAAATCATTAATGGATCACTGCATTTCAAACATCTAGACAATATTAATTGTATCTTTCATATGCCTTAGAATGCACTTCAAATCCTATCAACGACTCCTTTCTAGATCACGCATGAGCCTACTCACAATATCACCACTTGGCAAAGTATGTTTTTGTACAAATGATGACATACATCAGATTGTCCACTACACCAGCGTAAGGAATAAATCACATATATTTTCTCTCATGATCAGCTTTAGAACACTAATCTGAACTTAACTAAGGTGAGATACAATGCTTACACTCACCACCTTGCTCAACTCATCAATCCCAAACTTCTACGGCACCTTTGGAATATATGCTCCTTATGAGAGTCAAAGCTTTCTAGTTGTCTTGTTTTTGATAACTTTCATATCAATATTTCTGTTAACTTCATCTCACTCCTAAATCTTAAAATGGTCGGACAATTGCTTCTTCATCTCATCAATCTCTAACTAACTGAGAGATGCAATCAATATGTCACCAACATATAGAAGCAAGTAGGCGAACTCGTCATTGGCCAACCTTTTAAAATGTGCATAATGATTGTATTAGTTCCTCATGCACTCATGCATCATCATGAACTGATCAATCATATACTACTGTCATGATAACCATTTCAACTCATATAAAAACTTGTTTAATCTATAAACTAAGTCCTTTGAGGCTCCATGCCCTGCAATTGCAACATATAAATGTTCAATTGCAATTCCCCATGTAGGAACATAGTCTTGGTGTCTCAACCTTCTAGTTTTTTATTATGTATGTGTGCGTTAGATTTTTATGCAACCCTATAAGATTAATATCATTCTATCATTATAAATCTTCTGACACACAACAATTTGATATATTAAAGTATTATATAAATACAATACAAACAACAACATATATATAGGCGTAACCAATAAATAAAAATTATAAGATTATGCAACCCTATAAGATTAATATCATTCTATCATCATAAATCTTCTGACACACAATAATTTGTTATATTAAAGTATTATATACATACAATACAAACAACAACATATATATAGACGTAACCAATAAATAAAAATTATAAGATGGGGTCATCGAATAGGAAAAATTTTACGTTTGACAAAGAAGAATAATGGTTAATAATTATATTTATTTTAAACTAAATTGAAATTAAACCTTAATTACTTCATATTATGTTATATATATATATATATATATTAAAATAAATTATGAATTTTAAAATTTATTTAGATCATATTGACCAGAAAATTCTCATCGAAAAAATTGACGCGTGATCCTTCGCCCCTCCCCATGACCTCTTTTGCTAGTCGATCGCTTTCAGGCCGGCCTGAAATTCAATGGACAAAAATCAGACCCAGCTTAGGTCACACAGATCATTAAATTAATGGGCTCAACATCATTCAATTCAGATGACATATGGATCGAATTGAGCCCAATTAGAGGCCACCCACTTGTTATATCATTCCTGGTATAAATTTATTAACTAATAAATGTCCCCAGTAAAGATATTAGAAATTCAGAATATAATAAGTGACGTGACATAAATCTGAACATAAGTTATATCATTTTTTTTTTAGGGGCATTTACCTTCATACCACACAATTCTAATATATTTACAAACTGCCATATCTAAAACTTAGATTTTCCTATTTGCATATAACATCAAAAATACTATTGTTACTAACATTATAAAATTGAAACTCATTTTTTCATGCATAAATTTATAAATGACTTAATATCAATACACTATAAATATAAATATCAAACTTTAATTATTAGATATGTACGCACATATGTAATTTTTTTTCTTATAAGTATAAAGAAAAAGCAAGAGAATTTAAGATTGAAAAAAAAGAAAATTTATTTTTGATTTAAATTGATGTGCATATTTTCTTATAGAATCAATTTTATGTGCATATTAATTTTAATTTTGAGTTAAAAAATAGAGCTATTAATTATAAAGTACATTGCATGCTGAGCGCATTAGGATTTTTTGGCATTTAAATAGATTGGAACAGTCGTATTAGGTGAGCTGAATTACTAGTAGCTGATTATTGTTATAGTAATTTAGCACATTCATTTGGTATTTATGAACAAATTTACGCTTTGTAGTTATTGTGAATTTCTCTCGAAGATGGTCATTAATTGCTCAAAAATCATTTTGAATTTAGACCAGTGTCTAGATTGGATCCAAGTATACGAGCAAAGCTATGGACCGAAACTTTGGAACCAATTTATTTCGAGCCGATTTCGAGCCATACATAAATTGGCTCTAACTAACTCAAGATCAAATTTACACTTTGTAGTTATAGTTGTGAATTTCTCTTCAAGATGGTCATTATTGGATCGAAAATCATTTTGACTTTAGGCTCGGATCGAGATTGGATCTAAATATAAGAGCAGAGCTATGGGTCGAAACTTTGAAATTAATTTATTTCGAGCCGATTTCAAGCCGTACATGAATCGGCTCGGACTAACTCGAGATTAGCTCTTATTTCTTTTATTTATAAATATTATTATATAATGCTAAATAAATTAGAATATAACAAGTCACGAGCTAATTTTGATCCCATTTCGAGCTGAAACAGATCCAAATTACTCAATTAGAGCCAAATAGTTTCAATTTTAAGTCTGATCGAGCGGGCTCTGAGCTGAAACGGATCCAAATAATTCAATTTGAGACAGCAAGTTTTGATTTTGAGTTAATCGAGCTCAATTCAATTTCAAGCCGGCTCCGCTCTAAATCTTGCTCGAAATCAAATATAATGAGCCGTAGGCCAATTTCAAATCGCACTAAATCTATTTGAGCTGATTTAGGGACGACCCCAGCAAGGCTTGTATCTCAATGCACGGGTGGTTAATTTTGAAGCAAATGGTATTCTTTCTGCAGGATATTGAAAGCCTTCGACAAATGTCTTTCAAAAATTACAAATCATTATATATATATATATATAGTAAAATAGGAGTTAAATTTATCAAAATCTAATAAAATCTTTGGTTTATTCGTGCGCTATAAGATTTGAAATAATTTAAATTGATGTCCACCAAATTTAAGATTGCAAAATATTTATATTATATATTTATCTTAAATTAATGCTTTTTTTTGGGTAATATACATACACAAATGTCATCCAACCACGTCACCCTTCTTCAGTCTATATATATATCATTTTTTACATAATATCTTACGGTTTTTTTAAAATTATTTTTACTTTTTTATTTTATTTTCAAAAATATATTTTTTTTTTTATTTTTAGAAATAAATAAACTAATTTTTAAAAATACAAAATATTTCTATATTTTCAGAGTTTTACAGAAAATAATCACCAACAAATTAATTTTATTTTAAATAAAAATATAAAAGACAAAAAGGATTAATGGGAGTGATCAATTTCAAAACATTTTGCTTAAAAAGGAACAAAATGATGGTTAAACATTCAATTCAAATTGTAGGATGATCGTTATGCATATTAATTCAAGTCCAAATAGGCATTAGATGAACGCTAGTTGAGATTCTACAAGTTACTAATGAAGAATTAGTATATGAAATTATTCATAACTTATCAAATACAATTGAAGATTTCCTTTTATGCTAAGACATATATATTATATGTCTAGACCATTCATAATATATTATTACACATCAAGTAGAAGCTTTATGACTAAAAATAACAAATTGCATAATCAAAGTTAATAACGATATACTTGTGGCACAATATACCACTCTACTTTATCAAGAGTCATATCCTCATCGTAAGACTTTAACCACTTTATTTCTTCTCAGTCACATAATAGGAATCTAGATATTTCCCCAGTTTCTATTTATGTCCTTCTTAAGAGTTATGCTCTTTTAAGCGTCATAGTGAATCATAAGCGATTGAGATGTCGGTATTTCATTTTCTCTCTATTTTCACATTATTTCTTCTTCCTACTGAATTTGGCTTTCTCACAAAAACAAGCATATTTAAACTAAATAATTAACCAAAGAAGAATGTATTAAGTAGGATAATTCTGATTATTGGACACATTAGTACTACACAAATGACAACTGATCATTTGACTAATTAATAGCATACCGCAATAAGAGTTTAGGGATGATGTTAATTAACTGTAACAATCTTGATTACTTTGGTTCATGATTTCATTTTATGGATGGATATCATTAATGAAGTTCATTTATTATTGTGATGTTTTCAAACATAATTATTTTTTGCACACTTCATTTTATATGATGAGTCTAGACCATCAAAAGATATAAACATGTCATCATATTAATTGTAAACCCAAATAAAAAAGGAAGCTTTATTCGATTGGCTAAATATTATGTCTAGCCCACCATGCACATGTTGTCATCCATTAATTATTGAGAGGGGATGAAGATGCATGAACAGTAGTACATGGCCATCACATTTTCTTAGTAGTTAAATCAAGCATCAACCCCACCATCTCCTTACCCATCAGCTCCTCCAACATCCAAGTGGAGCCTTCCATTAGCTCGGGACTCATCCGAAACATGAGTATGCAGAACTCCATCTGATCCAACGTTCCATCTCCATCCAAATCACCTTCTCTCAACATCTCCACAGCTTCTTCTTCCCCGAGCTCTGCAAGCCCCAGCATTCCCGCAGAGTTCTGTTTTAAGCTCTCCAGCGTGATCACGCCTCTCTCTGCGTCCACCAGAAGCCGAAACCCTTTGCAGAGCTCATCGATGAGGCCGGCCGGTCCAAGCCGCTCCGCCATTGAAGGAAGAAAGTCTTCAAATTCCAGTGCGCCTTCCTGCGTTGGCTCCATCAGTTTAGTTGTTGCTGAACAGTTCTGTGCTAGCTCCAGCTCTCCTTCGTAGAAGCCTCATGGGGCCATCTCCTTTTAATCTGCGCTGGACTTGTTCTTGCTCTGCAACTGAAAAAGTTTGAAAGGAAGCCTGACATGTCCACCTATTGGAATCTTTCTTAGTCGATGACTATGATGCTTCACATTACTCTGTGTTTTAATTATATGTATCAAAACTCCGGTTTTTTTTTCTTTTTACTTCTTGAAAATGTATGACTTGAAATTCTCGTTTGCAATGGATTAGTTGGGCTTTGTCCTCAAGTAAAACAGTGCATTATTGATTTTATTTAATTTATCATATAATATACTCAACCAAAAGAAATTTAATAGCTTTGAGACTCATCCTGGCCTAAATTTGGCCAAAAGCCCTGATAAAATTTTCTTAGAAGTTTTACACACATACCATTTAATCCCTATGTATTTCCTATCTAACACCTATTTTTTTTATTTTTTTTGCATATATGTCACCTTACCTATACATATAACACCTATTTTTTTTTTTTTTTTTTGCATATATGTCACCTTGCCTATACATAAAAATGTGTATTTCACTTTTTTTAACTTAAAATAGTGGTATTTTTATGTGAAAGAAAGATCTAAGTGGGATAAGTATTAAAAAAAAAAATTCACTTTTTTTAAGTTAAAATGGTGGTATTTTTATTTGAAAGAAAGATCTAAGTGGGATAAGTATTAAGAAAAAAATTAGATATTAAATATTTTAATACATAAAATTTGGTGGTATGTATGTAAATGTTCCATTAATTAATTTGTTGAAAAGCAAAGTATTTATTAAAATGAAATAAGTTTAAGATTGATATAGAGGGGCTCAAAAGGTCTAAGAAACAAGAGATTATTACGTCTGTCGACCGGACGCTAACGGCCTTGATACACACAACCGCTCGGCGTCCGGGCAACGGACGTAATAATCTTTCCTATAAAACACATGCAATTAATTTCTGTATGGTAAAAATAATGTTTGAGATTGATAGGCAGTGAAAAGCATTTTTAAAAGTATGTTTAAAAGATGAAATGAATTTAAGAAATTATGTCCTTTTTTTAGATGAAGGTTAATTTCTTGAAAATGCACATTAAAATTTTCCTTTAAAATTTTAAGTTTAAGTGTTGTAATAATTTTTTTTTAAAATTTGATTAAAATTAAAATATTTTAGGGTTTAGGGTTTCTAAATTCTTTAAAGTGAAAGTAGAAATAGAAATTTTCTTTAAAATCCAATAAAAATAAGGATTTAGGGATTGATTGTATCATTTGGACATTAAATCTTGGGATTTCTGGTTGCTCGAAGTCATCATTTATAGTCTTGAGTATATATTTTATACTATTTATATGATCTTATCTTCTGTGGTGAAGTATTTAAGCTTCTATCATCTTCCACTTCTG